ATGAGGTCCCACTATGTTAGCGTTTCACTGTAAGTTGTCACAAATTCATTTTAAAATAAAATGTTCATAACAATATATTTATGGACAAGAACAGAGTGATATGAATCTACATAAAGAAAGTCCACTATACGACTTCCATTATGTGGAGGGGGTGTGAAAAGGTGAATTCTGTACTACTCAGAAGTGGTTATTTGAGGGACTAGCAGGTGGTGTGGTGGTTGGGGCGCTGGACTCCCACATGGCCAACTGTAGTTCAAGTACCAGACCTACTGGCTTGCTTTCTCACTTATCCTCTCTCTCTCTCTCACTCTGATGACTACAGCGAGTTAAAAAGTAATAGCAATAATAAATAAAATAAAATAAACAATGCCTTAAAAGTGTTTTAACAATGGTCATTTGAGGGAACCAGCAGTTAAGAGTAATGGCTATGTTGCTGGACTCCCACATAGTCGACCACGGTTCGCGTCCCAGACCCGATGGCTTAAAACTCACGCTGGGCGCGTGTGCGTGCGTGCCCAAGATCCAGAGAGGAGAATGGGAGGAGAAGGGATTGTGGCGTGACTATCCCCCCTGGAGGGTTATTTCTCGCTTTCTGTCTCTATGTCTCTTTCTGTCTGTCTGGCGAGCGCACGTGCCCTATAGCGAAAAATCCTCTCCAAAAAATAAATAAATAAATAAAATGGTCATTTGAGACCCCTTGCTTCTGATTGTCATTTTTATTGAAATTCTTTTAAGTATTTAGTAAGCCAAAATGTTTCCAAAGAAACAGAAAATTAACGACAGAAAATGAGACTGCTTCTATTCAATTTAATCATACACACAGTATGATACTCCATGAAATATTAGTCAGATCTATCAGCACTTATTGCACTAATGTATTACATAATTCTCTGTAAATAAAGCACTATTTAAATTATTATCATTACCATAATTATAGAGAGATAATTTGTTAGATAATAATTATCTAACATAAGGCACATGTACCTATGACAGAGAAAGGCATCCCCGAGAGGTTGGCCATGTCACAATCCCTTTTCCTCTTGGGCTTTTGGGCACTCACACACATGCACTCAGAGTGATTTTTCAAGTCACTGGGTACAGGACTCGAACCATGGTTGGCCAGGTGAAAGTCCAGTGCTTTAACCACCAAGCCACCTGCTACCCTCTATGTCAAACTATTTTAATGGATATAATTTATTTCCTTAAAATAGGATGGTAAATACTTAAAAGTTTTTAAAGCACTGCAGTCCCAAAGTGCTATCCAATATATAAAAAATGGTGTATTTTGTTCTAATATAATTATTTTTCTATAATATTAACAGCAAAAGAATAAACTTACAGAACCCGACAATGCCCCTGATGCAAAGTTGATCATAAATGTTGGTTCATATAAACCATATTTTTCACAGAACCACTTCCTTAAAATCTCATAGTTATACCAGTACATTGCTATAAAGACAGAGAATGAAATGAGCACATATTTAGAAATAAAATGTAAACTTTAAAGAAAAATTCTAAACTCAATACACCTTATTTTCTGCTTAGAAACCATATTCTAGTGCAGTGCCCCTAGACATCCCAGCTGTAGTTTAAGTATCCCCTGGAGACTGTGGCTCAGTCACCACTCTGAAGGGCACAGAAATAAGCCTTAGTGGCATTTATGCGGTGTTAAATCTTCAGAACCACAGAATGTGAAAGTTGTAGGGGTGTGGCTACCTCCACCTAGATTTCAAAGGATGTTAAGGCTATCCTGGGGGCCCAGGCAGAAACTTGATGCTAGGATGTAGCCACCACAGACAGCCCTCACTAAGGCAGGATCACAACTGAGATCCCAAAACTAGAGGGACTTCAGCCTGGGACAGCTACAGGTATGAGACACCAGCCTGTGAGAGCTGATACATAGGCTGAGCCTTGCAAAGCCACAGGTGCAGGGATGAGACCTTGAGCACCTAATCTGCCTCGGGGGGCCCAAGTCACAGGCTATGGAATCAAAGATTATTCTTCAACTTTAAGACTTAACATTGTCTACTCTATTCAGTTTTGGACTTAACTTGGTACAACGTACACTACTTTTCTTGACTATTTATTCTTTTTTAAAAGACTGTATTTATTTACTTCTTCCATCAGAGAGAGAGAATTTCCCACAGGGTCTCAATGTCGCAGTCCACCCCCAGCCTTCAGCTTTCAGCCAGTCCCAGTTCGTGGGTATGCACAAGCCTGCTGTATTCAGGAAAGCCTCCCAACTTGAACCAGAGCCTCCCAAGATGGGATTTGCCTCTCAGGGCACTGTACTTTACGCTGTGCCACTGTCTGGCCTTTATTTATTCCTCTTAGATTAGGATATTTACCCTGTTTCTGTCCCAATGACTATACTATAGAAGTAGACCATCTTTTTTATTTCATAGGTCCATAGTTAGAATTGTCTCAGGATGAATTATGCCTTGAGTAAGATCATATCGGATTTTACTTAACAGTCTCTGCACTTTGGGCTTTTGAGTTGGTGCTGGAACAAGTTAAGACTTTCAGAGCTACTAGGATGGAATAAATGTATTTTGCATGTGAGAAAGACATAAAGTTTGGATGCCAGGGCAAAATGCTGTGGTTTAAATGTGATTCCCAAAGCTCATGTAATAGAAACAATCCCTAATACAAGAGTGTTGGGAAGTAGGAACTTTAAGAGGTGATTAGATCACCAGACGGTTCTGCCCTCAAGAATAGATTAATGCCATTATTTCAATGGCTAGTTATCTTCTAAGAAGTTCTTCATAAGTTCAGCCCCTTTTCTCTCATCTTACACATTTGTTTTTGCCTTCTGCCACGGACTCTGGTCAGGTGCTGGTGCCCTGCTTTTAGATACGAATAAATCTTACCTGAGAAATTTACATCTCTAAGAACAGTAGGAGCCCAGCCCCTCCAAAGGGAAATCCAACCATCTTCAGAAACTTTCTTGCTGACGAATAGATGCAGTTCCTTGTAAGAAAACTTCTTAGACTGCATCTTGGTTCTAATCAATTCTAAGGGACTTATCACTGTTACTGCACCAACTAATACAAATAAGCAGGTAAAAGAAAATAAAAACAAAGCTGTGTACTATGCAAACACACAGGTGAAATTAATATTTAATGTATTTGATATTTAAAATAATTAAAATAAAATATTTTGATATTTTAAACTTTAATTCTAAAATTTTAATTCTTAAAATCAAATATCTAAATGATGACAACATATGGACACATTGTTTTCCCTCAAAACGGGTTTTCTTGAAAGGTCATTTTCATATACCTTACTTTTTTTTTTTTTTTTTTTTTTCTGATTTTCACCTTTTTAAGAGCAGTTTCAGGAACTTTACACTCAATTAGAACTATTACAAAAAAGTCATTTCAGTTATCGCCCCCCAACAAAACCTCACTTACATTTCACAGATAAAAACATTCTTTTTTTTTTTTTTCTGGAGAGGTTTTCACCATCGGGTGCGTGTGCTTGCCAGACAGAGAGAGACATAGAGACAGAAAGCAAGAAATCACCCCCCAGGGGAGATGGTCACACCGTAATCCCTTCTCCTCCATTCTCCTCTCAGGATCTTAGGCATGCACACACACGCGCCTGGCGTGAGTTTTAAGCCACTGGGTCCAGGACGTGAACCGCGATCGACTACGCGGGAGTCCAGCGACATAGCCATTATGCTAACTGCTGGTTCCCACAGATAAAAACATTCTTCCACATAAAGGCAGACTTCCTTCTGATTAAACTCTGAATCCCAAAGACTTTATGAAAAATGATTCAGGACTTCGGTTTGATTCCTGAAGGATCCCAAATGACACTCTGGAAGTTCAGATGACTCAGAACAAAATTTGATGCCATTCTAAAAAGCTCTGTCCAAGATTTGACCAAGATAGGCTGATCCCATCTCATTATGATGGCAATCACTGTACCACATAACTTCTGGAGGATAGAATTACTATAATGTAAAACACTGGGTTCTCAGAGAAGTCATGACATATTTTTCTGTGCAAAAATTTGTCATGACTTTCCCAATGACCTAATATACCATACCAACATTCTTCTGTACATTATACAAATTCTCTTAAATATCAAAATTGAAACAGAAGCCCTAATCAGAAATAAAAATAAAAGTAAAGATTTATTACTCACATCTGGCCACAATTCCGGCAACAATTGGTATACGGGTTTCATTTTCTCCTAATTTAGCTCTCAGAAAAGCAGTTAATTGATCGTAGCAAGTAAAATAAATTACTGTGGCAGGAACTGCCATCACTCTATTAGAAACACAAAAATGAAAAGATTTGTTCAAATTATCTAAAGGTCTCAAATACACACTTTAATAAAATCACATATTGGGGCCAGCAGGTGGCTTGGTGGTTAAGGTGCTGGACTCCCACAAGGCCAAGCGCGGTTCAAGTCCCAGACCTGGAAGCTTGTTTTCCTACTTTCCCTTTCTTTCTAGTCAAATTAAATAAATAATAATGATGATAATACATGAAATAAAATTATTCTTAAAAATCAAATAAATTAATATATAACTAAAAAACTTAAATTTTATGTTAAGCAAAAACTACAACAAATCTTCCTATGAGACCAATTTTTTTTTTTTTGAGAGGTTTTTGCTATAGGGCACATGCACTCGCCAGAAAGATAGAAAGAGACAGAGAGATAGAAAGCAAGAAATCACCTCCCAGGGGAGATGGCCACACTACAATCCCTTCTCCTCCATTCTCCTCTTGGGATCGTGGGCAACACACAGAAGCACCGGTGTGAGTTTAAGCCACTGAATCCAGGACTTGAACCGTGGTCGACTACATAGGAGTCCAGCGACGCAGTCATTAGGACACATTTCCTTGATTTGTTCTATCTGCTTCTGAACTCCCCCATGGACACAGATTGTTTTTCCCCTCAAAAACAGGCTTTCTTTCCCAATTACATTTATCATAACTTAAGAATCACTGAAATAAAAAGTATAATATATGAGCAAATTTGTAAAACATTATGAACCATAGTTCACACTAGCTTATAACTGGAAATAATAATTAACATCTCCACAATCATATATGCTAGTTCTGAGGGAATTCTAATGACATATTCTTTAAAATGAAAATATGAAAAGGGAATTATTAATTAAATTCAAACATAAAAGATGTAGGCACTGCCATGTCAAAAATAGTAATGAAACAAGAAAATAGTCTATGTTTATGGTATAATTATATAGGACAGAGACCATAGTTAGGAGTGCCTCAAGTTCTATATTGATACTATATGAGTATCACTAGGTACATTCTGTGTGATCAGCTGTATTCAGTATCATGACAGCTGATCACACAGAATTCATGAGTAGGACTGATTGTGGCTTTGGATCTGCCACTGTTTAAAATTGGCTAATTTTATCCATGGAAAGAAAAAGGGAAGTCTTAGAAATAAATAAAGCACAGAAAGTTAAGATATTTTTTGAGATTTTTAGATTCAGCCTTAAGAGTTTACCATGTAGTAGAGACTAAAAATTATATATCTTTCTGTTTTAGGAAAACAAAAAGTCAAATACACACCAAATTATGTCTGAATATCAAAAAAGTTATGGTTATGCAGAAAAGACTTACTTAACACAGTAAGCTGGTTGCTCAAATATTCTATATTTTCAAGAGGCCTATTTGCATACCTCTTCTTGGGACAAAACATAAAGATTTAGCCTGTGGAATGTTGCTTATGACAAGGTATATTTTTTATGCATCTGAAGCACTAAACCAACCTACCTGAAGTTGATTTATGCAAAATGTGGTTTATGGTAAACATCTGCTTTACTTCTGTGAGGTCTGAAGTTTTGCTAAAGATGATTGACCACACAGAACGCAAATGCATAACCAATGGCCAATAAAAGCCCTATATTCTGAAACTTAAGTAGGTTTTCCAAGGCAAGAGAAGTTAGAAAACTTCATAGTTCACTGCTAGAAGAGTGTGTCCTGTGTAATGCACAAGGGAGAGCTTTCTTTGGAAGCATATTCCTGGTCAGCTCCTGATGTCTTTTTTCCCTTATCAATTTTGCTTTATATTTTTTTGCCAGAAGAAACCATAGCTTTGAGTAAAACTTATGTAGGTCCTGCACAAATAAGGTTTCTTTATCTGTTGACAAGGATGTGAATAACAGTCTCAATGGGCTGGACTGAGGTGTGTATCATGTTGGGTAAAGTCTCTTCACAATCTAAATGATATATAGCAATTTAATGTATAAATAATAATTTTTAAGATTAATAAAAAAGAAAACTATTTATTGAAAGATAAATAAATAAATAAACAAACTAACAAACGTAGGTCCTGTCTTTCTAGCACACTGTTTAATGTGTGGATGTTTGTGAGACTCACAAAACAATGCTTCACCAAATGAAAGAGTTCTAATATTAAAAATGTAAGACTTTGTGCACCATGCAGATCAGAAGATAAAACAAAACAACAACCAACATTTTGTATTAAAAACATTAAATTTTAACTTACAAGGTAGGCGGAAGGCCACTCCACAGAGATTTAATGCCCTCATTTCGAATTATTTTTAAAAAGGCATCCTAAAATTATAATAGAAAGAGTAGTCAAGATATATATATTCCTAAACCTGATATACAAAAATTTATAATAATAACTGATGGGTAGTATGATTCTTTTAAACATTTATTTAAAAAACATGAATGTCTTAAATTTATATACATTTTTCAAAGAAAATAAATTCCAACAGAAATTAAATTAAGAAAAAAAGAAATTAAGTATTTCTGGATAGTACCAAATTCTTACAGAATAAAGTCTGTATTACTCAGCTCTAGATTGTTATACTTAAGGCTTAGTAACAAAGCTTTAGAAAGATTATTTTTTAAAAGGAGGTAAAGTAATGGCAGAGAACTGTTCAAACTCTCCTGACAAAGTATGAAATCTGAGAAAATATTATTAATATTCACTACTTCAAATATCTGGAGAGGAACAAAACAGGCAAAAGCTGAAAAGATGTCTATAAATCCTTCCTTTTCTTTGAGAGGGATTTTTGCTATAGGACAAATATGCTTGCTTGCCTGAGAGACAGAGAGACAGAAAGTGAGAAATCACCCTCCAGGTAGGATAGTCACACGGCAACCCCTTCTCCATTCTCCTCATGGGATTTTTGGGCACACGCACATGCGCCCGGTGTGAATTTTAAGTCACCGGTTCGGGACTTAAACTGTAGTCTAATACATAGGAGTCCAACAGCATAACCATTGTGCCACCTGATGGTCCAAATAAAAAAAATCTTAAAACTTAATAAGGGGGGACCAGCAGTTAGCGTAAGGGCTATGTCACTGGACTCCCATGTAGTCAATCGCGGTTCGCTTCCCAGACCCAGTGGCTTGAGACTCACACCAGGCGCTTGTGTGTGCATGCCCAAGATCCCGAGAGGAGAATGGAGGAGAAGGGGTTGCGGCATGGCCATCTCCCCTGGGGGGTGATTTCTCGCTTTCTGTCTCTCTGTCTCTCTCTGTCTGTCTGGCGAGCGCATGCGCCCTATAGCGAAAACCTCTCAAAAAAACAAAAAAAAACTTAATAAGGGGAACCATCAGTTAGCGTAATGGCTATGTCGTGAACTCCCATGTAGTCAACCGTGGTTCGAGTCCCGGTGGCTTAAACTCACACCGGGCACGTGTGCGTGCATACCCAAGATCCCAAGAGGAGAATGGAGGAGAAGGGATTGCGGTGTGGCTATTCCCTCTGGGGAGTGATTTCTTGCTTTCTGTCTCTCTGCCTCTCTCTATCTCTATGGCGCGCGCATGCGTCCTGTAGCAAAAACCTCTCAGAAAACAGAAAAACAAGCAATAATGAAAAACAAAAGAAATTAAAACTTGAAAAAAAGATTTGAATAAACATTTCTCCAAAGAAGACATAAAATGGCCAGTAAGTATAAAAAAAAAACTTCAACATCATTGATCATTATGGAAATATAAAGCAAATGTACATAGAAATACCACATCATATCCACTATGTAGGCTAAAGTAAAAAAGAAGACAACAAGTATTAGTGAGAATGTGGAAAAACTCAGAGCCAGCCAGTGGCATGGTGCTTAAATAGACGGATCCCACATAGCTGACTGTGTGGTTCAAGTTCCATACGTGGTAGCTTGAAAAACATACCAGGTACATATCTGTGCGTGCCCAAAAACCTAAAAGGAAAAATGGAGAAGGGATGGCGGCATAGCCATACTCCACTGGGAGTGCTTTCTCAGTACTTCCCCTCTCCTCCAATTTCCCTCTGTCTCTCTCATGTGCCCTCTAGCAAACTGAAATAAAAAAGAGAATGTAGAAAAATTGGAACCCTTATATATTGTAGCTGGAAATGTAAAAATGATGCACTCATTCTAGAAAAGTTTGGTAGTTCCTCAAATGTATAAATGTACAGGCATCATATGACTAGTAGTTACAACTTTAGGTACATATTAAAGAGAAATTAAACACCTTTTCACACAAAATTATATCCGAGAGAAATTACAACACGTGTTCACACAGAAATTTGAATGTTCACAGTAGCATTGATCATTCCACAAAATGAAAATAATCCAAATATCTGTCAAATGGTGAATAAATATGAAAAATATTTTGACTAATATATTAACAATAGAATGTAATTTGCAGAAATAAAATACTGATACATGCTACAACATAGATGAATCTTAAATCACTGTGCTAAGTGAAAGAAGCCAGTCACAAAGAATGGCATGTTTCTCTAGGAAAGGAGAAATTTAAAAAGATAACTTTTAGACAATAACCACTCTACTCTAGCCTAACAACACAGAAAAACCTGTGGTACTATGCGGACTCATACCAACAAAGGTCAAGTTGGGATCTACATCTGCACCCTTGTAAAGTTGTAATAAGGCATTGTAATATTAAAGGTATCACAAAATGTTAATAAAGAGCCAAGAATTTTATGCTGACCAGGTCAGTAATAAGACCCCCCTTTATTATTTATTTATTGAAAGGTTTTTGTTTTGTTTTGTTTTTGAACTATAGGACGTGTGTGCTCGCTGGAGACAGTGAGAGAGAAAGCAAAAAATCACCCCCTAGGAAAGAGGGCCATGCCATAATCCCTTCTCTTCTACTCTCCTCCTGGGATTCTGGACATGCCCACACATGTGCCCAGCATGAGTTTCAAGTCATAGTCAGCCATATGGGAGGTCTATACTACCTACTGGCCCCAAATTCCCCCTTATTAAATTGTCCCTTTGGTTAGGACCTTTGCCACCATCCAATAGTATTAAGGTCACCCCACCACAGAGTCAATAGAAACAATATGGGGAACCAGAACTCATTCAGTTACCAAATAGTAAGGTCTTCCCTCCCACTGCGTGCCAACAGACTGAGAAGAGAACATGTAATATACTTCTACTTCTGTCCTGAAGTAACAAGATTGTACCTTCTTCCCCACTAGAAGCTGTGGCAGCAAAAGCCACTTTAAAAATAGAGTGTTTAAATGAGATTCAGTTTAATAACAGAATATTGAAAAGGTCTTGGTTTCAGCTTAGCTACAGTAGTGTGTACTGTACTGGAGAAACTGAGGCCATATGGGATGTCCGGGTTCAATTCCCAGCCTACCCTGAAAGTTGGGGCAGTGGTGCATGCCTATAATCCCAGCTACTTAGGAGGCTAAAACAGGAAAATTTCGATGTAGCCCGATCCTATTTTTAAAAAATGTATAGGCTGCAATTGAAAAGCACTCACTCATCATTCTAAGAACTAGGAAGATGTCAAACAGAATGATGATACAGTAAATAGTTGTCAATACTGAGACAAGAGAGATGTTAGAATTATCTGATGAAGATTTTAGAGCAGCTAACACAAAAATCATTGAATTACAAACATGTATGAAACATATGAAAAATTAGAAAGCCTCAGCAAATACATGAAAACACTACAGATTAAAATGGACTTGTGGGCCAGACAGTGGCACAAGAGTAGAGCAACTGGACCCATCTAAGAGGGTCCTGGGTTTGTGTCCCAAGGTCTTTCTGTGCACACCAGGTATATAAACAAATGCCTGTGGCTTGGGCAGGCTGGAGTAGAGGTGGAGTGTGACACGGGGACCCTATTAGGGGTACTTGTTCTCTGTCTCTCTCTCTCTTACAGAGGAAGTAACAAAATTTTCTTTAAAAAATTAAGTTTTAAAAAATGTTCAGATAACACAGAAGCAGGAAAAATAGAAAACAGAACAGAAAATTTAAAATAAAATGGTAGGCTTAAGCCCTAACACATCTATTATAAAATTATATTAATATAATTATGCTAAGTTAATTAAAAGATGAAATCTGACAGAATTGCTTTAAAATATGACTCAATTATACGCTGTTTATGAGAATTCCACTGCGGGACCAGCAGTTGATTAAGTGGCTATATTGCTAGACTCCCATGTAGCCGACTGCGGTTCGAGTCCTGGACCCTGTGGCTTAAACTCATGCCGGACGCGTGTGCGTGCACGTCCAAGATCCTGAGAAGAGAATGGAGAAGGGATTGTGGTGTGGCTGTCCCCCCTGGGGGGGTAATTTCTCACTTTCTGTCTCTCTGTCTCTGTCTTTCTGGCGAGTTCATGTGCCCTATAGCAAAAACCTCTCCCCTCCCCCAAAAAATGAAAAAGAATTCCACTACAATTAGAATGACACAGACATACTGAAACAGGATTGGAAGACATGGCAGAGTAAACATGTTATTTCTCCCAAGTTTTAATATAATTTAACCAAATTTCTTATAGATATACACAAAATTACTCTAAAATGTATACAGAAATTCATAAAGAAACTTTGGGGATAGCTAAAAAGAACTTTGAAAAATGAATATAAAAATAATGTCAGGGCGGGCCGGGGGCTCACGCCCCCTGTGCAGCAGCCCCGCGCAGGGAACGCCCGCCCC